GATTGGGTCGTTACGATTTGAACTAGATGGGTAACAGATTAAGGGATTTGAGGTACTTTCCCGTTGTGGAAAAAAGGCACCAATCGGGCATGGGATGGAACCATATCAATTGTGAATCCATGTATTCAGATCTAAAACTGAAACCGTTGCTGACAAAGAGTGACCTTGTCCGGTTGAGTGGATGTCCAGGGACATAAAATTACGAGTGAGGATTAAAAGGAGAAATTTGCAGCCGAAGGAAATTGCAAGTTGCGTCCCAGAGGCACAGCGTACAGGTTAACCGGGTCTGCTGACTGGCATGGCTGTCGGAAGGAAATAATTTGTAAAAGTTAGTTGGGAATTAAGGTTATGATGCGCAGGACCGATCAACCACGGTATGTAAAATCGCAAGAAAAATCACGTGAAGCTTACAGAGTGCTTACGATGCTACCACTTCTGAAGAAAATACTTTTACCAATTTCGATGTTCCCAGCTCGTCGCTCCCGGGGGAATTGCGTTTGGATACCTGCTGAAGAACACCGTTGTCCTTTATCAGGCCTCATCTCAAAAAGTGTTTGCCAACTAAAACTCCACCGTTTGATTTTTTATTTTGAACATAGTAGAGCCTAACGCATCGTCTGTTTCAGAAGCCGATGCCCTGCATGCGGCTTCTGATTAAGTTGGTGACAACAGCCTTTGTTGTTGCAAGACACGTCTGAGAAGCGGTCAGTTTCAAATACAAATCGCTATTCAGAACTTCGAGAGAGAAGCCCTCACCAAGTCATTCATCTTGAACAAAAGTTCTCAGACATTCTGACGACCATTCAATCAGCCATCCTCTAATAGGATATTCCATCACTTCTTTCGATAATTCTGCAAAAGCTAAGCCTGATTGCATACCTGGATACCTTCAACCGCCGCCATGTCACCAATCTTGTCACTATGCTTGACCAACACATATTTTGTTTTGCTAGGGCCTACTTGCCGCCACCCGGTTCTCATCTGCAACTCATTCCATGGGCTCCATGGCATGTTCTGCATCCAGCTCGAGCGAACAACATAACCCGATTCTCAGCATCGTTTTAATCACCGTATCTGCGTTTTCTTACGTTTTTCGTACTTTTAATAAAGCAATCGCAGCTAATATTGATAGCAATCATTTCGTGAACCAAAAAGTCTGTCTAGATACCCCAGTTATCTCCCGAGCTTCATTTGCCCACCCACTTGACTTTGAAATCTCTCTCCAGAATGAAACATTGCAGAATGTGCCCTTAGCCAAAATTTCGTTCCACCAGCCCTCCTTCATTAGCTTCTTCCTCATGAAACAATGAAAATTAGTCTACAAAATTTAGGTAAACAAAATGGAAGAGTTTACATGATTTGTTTCAACACTAACTGATGGACTTAATAAGTGGAGCAACCATGGCAGAATTCCATTTGTACACAACATCAACGTTATCCCGGCCGACAATCCCAGCAAGAAAGCCCTCTGCGTTTGTTGACATAATAATCCGACCAAGCATCCTAACCCTGCACCAAGCCATGTACAGTGTACACGACAGCCCATGGCCCATATATATCGGAAAACTTCTGTACAAATACGCGTTTTACGCTCTGGACAGAGTCAACGTTATCAACGCGGAAAATTTAGTGGGACAATGTATACACGGCAATAGACAAATCAAGATAATTTCTCTAAATATCGGTGGAAATCAGAACTTCGTGCACAACAGGCTCTAAGAAGAGCAAACGACGCCGAGACAACGTGGCTTTCCACGGTTCACAGTCCTCGAGAACCTGGCGTTGAAGCTGGAACTCACTAGGGTGTGACCCTGCACACTTGAAACGCATCTGTTTAATTCCTTTTTAATCGTTTGCAACAATCTGTAAGGATGACGCGCATGGGCAATAACCCGGAATTCGGGCAAATTCTTCGTTGCGCCTGGGCAAACCAAACGCATAATATCAAGGGGGAATGACTTGATCATGTCTGTTGGTAGCCACTCAAACGATGAGACACCGGTATGATGTCTGGCAAATTTTGAAGTCAGAGCATGTCCCTAAATGGGCGTCCAGTTATGGAGGAGTCACCATTCTTTCAAGTCGGACTCCGTGGACGACACACATATCACATCCGAAATAACCGAACCACCTGGCTGGTTTGTAGCCAACGTTGCATGGCAGGCGACCAGGCAAACACTCCGGAACATTTAGAGGAGTAAAACCACCATCCAAAACGAACTGCAGTTCAATTAATGCCTTGCATATAGGCTTCGACGTCAAGCGGTCTCGAAACTACACCAACTACACATTCTTCGTTTCCGCTAATTGCAGTGCAGTTGCAGGAATTGGCCAAATCTGTCGCCTTGACGACCCGTGCAAAGTAATACCACTGATGTTAACACAACGTTGAGCCGTCTCAATTCACTGCGCACGTGAACTGTCAATCAGGCTTTACGCAAACACATTCGCAATGAAATATGGACGTAAACACCTTCGGAAATAGCTTAAAAATGGTCATCCATGGTGTGAAAAGCAGAGCTCTTGGGTTCTTCGGCAAAACAGGATGGAATCGACGCTGAACAGACAGCACTATACGCGTGTACTTCAGCGAAACCGGCAGATGCGCCAGGGAATAGCACATGTCCTCCACGAAGGAAACGTACGGGCGTGTACTTCAGCGAAACCGGCAGATGCGCCAGGGAATAGCACATGTCCCCCACGATAGGAAACGTACGGGGTGTTTGATATTGTTGCTCGCAAAACGGACTTACTACGCCCTAAAAGGAGATTTATGGCTATATACCTTCCGAACTTCTACTTACGTGGTGTTGGGTTGGGGTTTTCTGAGGCCCGATCAGTAGCCGACAGCGTAGGTTCCACTGCCGTGGAAAGTGCAGTCACCTCTAAAATGCTTCAGAAGTGCGGGCGTATTATTCACCCAGACAGCGCTGGAGGAGCGCTTGTACTTTCCACATTTCCCGAATCATTACACCCGTATCAGTGGTCCCAGATATTGCCGCGCTCACACAGCAAACAGACCCGAGAATTAAGCTCACGTTTTCTGATAGTATCTTTGTCTCTCAGCTGCACAGCGTCCGTAATTCTATGAAAAGTTTAAGTAATTAGAAACGGTTACCTGACTGCGGTACATTTCGTTTACACTTATTGATGAACGTTCCAAAATTGGATGAAATATAGCAACGAGTGAGAGGCAAATGATTCAGCTAGCGAAGGCCGGACTTAGATCAATAAACGACAAGTTTAATCGATCATGTATTAAAACAAACGTTTTCACAAATGACTTTTTGCCTTGGTATGTAATATCAAACTGACTGTTTTCCTGAATTTTGGAAGGCATTGCCGTAAAAATTACAATATTCGGGTTGTATGCATGACGGCAGTCAGTGGTAAAAGCGTTGCAAAATTTAGCCACCTTTGGCCACCGATGGCCATGTATTTACTGTTTTCACTATATATTTATAGGTCATAACAGAGTGCTCCACAAGGTCACACCATCAGAGTGCGAGAAGCGTCAAGCTATAGATGCTCGATCCAGACTGGGTGACATTCTGACCAATCAGGGCATGGCTTCGTTTATCCCGTTGTCCGCGCGTGACGCACGTGACGTCCAATCCATGTGGTATGTAATATGTCTGCGTGTATAGAAGTATCTCAACTCACTGTGTGGATGTTCTGAGGATAGCAGCCGGGTGGGCTGAAAAGGAGAATGTGGTGTATTAGTTGGATGTAACAGTAAGTTGGTAACTCTCGCCAACTGTCCACATAGAGGCACAAGATCGTAGGTTCAACGATTTATTCTCCGAACCTCTGAACACGTGGGGA